CTTCTTCTTCTTCTTCTGCTTCTTGTCCGTAGAGGCGGCCACGTGGCATTCTCAGAACGCCACTACTCAACGAACCACCCACTCTTCTTCTTCTTATTCTTCTTCTTCTTCTTCTTCTTCTTCTTCTTCTTCTCCTCCACATGCTTTGCGGACCCCTTGTTTCATCCCTGGGAGCCCAGCCATGAGGCACACTCTAACACCAACGCGTTTCGTCGTTCGTTTTTCTTCCTCCTCCTCTACCTCTTTTACCCAGATTCTCTCTTTCCCTTCCCCGTTCGTCCTTCTCCTACACGGAACCCCCTTCCTTCACCGCAGGTGCGCCCATTCTTGCCCGCACACAACACCCACTCCCGCTCCCCACTCACTCTTCCCTATGTTCCCCCATCTTCTCTCCCTCCGCATCCTCCTCCTTCAATGTTTAAACTCGCCAACCATGTACGCACGCTCACAATCCCCTCACCAATTCATCTCCTCATTATTATTCTTATCATTTTTCTTTGTCTCCGGTTTTTCATCCTTCTCAAGACGCGCCATCATGTGGTATCCTATCCTCCCGACCCACCCGCCACGTGGCAGCTTCAAGACCCCCCCCTCCATTACTCCACCCGACCACCTACCCCACCCAACCACCTACTCTTCCTCCTGCAAGTGGCACGCTCACTACCTTGTAACCCCTAGCAACGAACGATCCTTTTTCTTCGTGTCTTCTTCTCTTTCTCTTTCTCTTCTCTTCTTCATCGTCCTCTCCCTCCTCCACCTACTTCCCTGACGCGCGCCCAAATGGTACGCTCAGAAGTTTTCTGCTATATGACAACCCCTCCGTTACCCCACCCAGCCTTCTCATTCTCCATTTTCTTCTTCCTTGAACCGGGACACGCGGCAAGCTCACAACTTCGCTCCATCTCGCACAAACCAATACCTCTTTATTTCTGGACGAGTGGACAGACCCCCTGAAGAGCCTCGTGCGCTACAAGCCGAAATGCGTACGGGTCTCCAGCGCGTTATGAGCTATCATATAATGGTGGCTTTGTCAGTGCAGCTGCTGTAACGATTTTGTTTCGTATGCATGGACGCTTGGCGCTTGGCGCTTCGCCATTCACTATCTTTCTTCTTCTTCTTCTTCTTCTTCTTCTTTTTCTTCTTCTTCTTCTTCTTCTTTTTTTTTTTTTTTTTTTTTTTTTTTTTTTTTTTTCTTCTTGGAGGACAGTAGGCGGGCCGCAAGACATCGTTGTGCGGAACGCCCGCTGAGGATGATCGGCGCGCAGCCGATCCAAACGCCGGTCGGGGAATGTGCGCGTAAGCTGAGACTAGTATGCGCGGCTATGCATTGAAGAGCTTTCGAAGCGTGTACGAAAGACAGTTGGCCCCCCTGTTTTCACTATTCTGTGTGGCATGGTACCCGGATGACAGGAGTTATTCAAACTGGTGGCTATGTCGACGAGCGGCTTCAAGGCAACGACTCTCCTCCCGTCCTCCTCCTTTCTTCCTGGTCCAAACGCGCCATCACATGGCCCGCTTGCAACCCTCACCCAATCTTCCTCCTCCTTCTCCTCCTCCTCTTCTTCTTCTTCTTCTTCTTCTTCTTCTTCTTCATCTCTGTCCTCTAAAGCAGCGCCACGTAAGACGCTCCTCTACCTCCACCGCCACGGTCACGCTTCGCTTTTCCGCTCCTGCCGGCCAACGGCGCACACACAATACCTCTCCTTCCTTCCCACCACCTTTTCTTAAATGCGAGATCGACTGCGTCACACTCAACCCCTACCTCTCTTCTTCTCCCGCATCCTTCCCCATCTTCCTCCGCCTTGTACAACGTGCTTCCTCCCTACAACTGTGGTTTTCCTTCGTCCCTGTACAGTACGGATTGGCGCCAGCGATTAAGACCGATGCATGGTGCACACTGCCTGCTCTGGACTCCGCACTGACTCCACGTCCGCACTGATTCCGATAAGCAGCAAGCGCTATCCTTGTGTGTGTGTGTTTTTTTAATCCTTGTGATGTGGTTATGTTCACATAGTCTGTGGGCATCTGGTTTTTCCTTCCTTTGGCAAGGGAGCATTAGACGAAAATAGGGGCGAGAGGTGGCAGAGAGGAACTCGCCGTGTGACGTTGAAAGAGGAAGGCAAGGCGAAGGCGGCGAGACGCAGAGGGATGAACGTGGACTGATGGGGGAGAGAGGAGGGAGGGAGGAATAACAGAGGTGGAAGGGAAATGGAGGCATGTGAAAATCGCCAGCTATTGCGCGTTGCTGTTGGCGATGGAGGGAGGGGTCGTCAGGGCTGGTCAGGGGAGTCGAAAAACGTGTGACGTTGGAATCAGTAGGCTCCACGATCGGTAGACGGCCTGGCAAAGAGCGGAGCACGGACACGATTACGCTCCATATTATTTATTTCTCTTTGTTTTTCTCCCATACATATATTCTCCACACATCGCCACTCAGAAAAATTGGTAAGATGGTGGGGTAGGGGAACGTGAGGCCGGCTGGCACATTGCCAAATGGGAGCGCGCTATAAACCCCCAGAAAAATTATGGAGGACTCACCAGACGTGCTGAAGGCTCACACATCCTCCTCACTGCTCCGAAGTCCAAACTTTCACCCAACCTTTCAATCGCCATCCTGTGACACAGATACCGTCCCATCAGCCCACAGAAAATTGGATACCGCCAGGGCACGTTACCTCGAAGGGATGAGGGGGGGAAGGGGGAGGGGTGATGGTCTAGGGGTGTGGGGTTTTGGGGGGTAGGGGGCTTAGTGGGGGTAGGGTGGAGCCCAACTGGCAGCATTGGATGATGAAGGTGCCAGCTATGTTGCCACATGGTGGCCTAATTGCACGCACAGGTTCCTGTGGGCCATCTATGCCCCCTGGTCATGCGTCCGAACAGTTTTCCAGTTGCCCTGGGTGGTGGCCGTAGATGGCCAGTACACCGCCCTCCCCAGCCTTGCTGAAAATGTTTTGTCACCTGGTCCGAAAAAGTCGGCGCCGGCACTCCATCGAATAAAATACATTGGCGACCGGCTTTGCATTTCGCCTCTGACAGGGGCCTGCGGCCGATTTGAGGCGTGTACTGGTGGTTTGAAAAATTGCACGGAAGCATGTTCGAATGAGCCCTGATGTAGACTTGAAAAATTGCACGGAAACATGTTCGGATGAGCCCTGATGTAGACTTGCCGTCATTTCAAAACCATCGTCCGCTACGCACCGTTCTTCCCCACCCACTGAGGTAGACTGATAGACCGCGCCTGGCGCGGTAGCGCAGCCAAGGGGCGGAAGGGTGACGCGTAAGGAGCGAGGAGGCATTTCGTGGGGAAAGGGGAGGGAAAAAAAAGGGACAGCAATAAGGACGTTTTGGGCCGTGCCAAGGAAAAGGCAGACACCACAGGACATTTGTTGACGACCCCACCAAATGACTTCGCCCACGGCAGAGACGAGGAGGGAAGGGCTTACAGCCAGGATGGCTGTGTATACACTGATGTCTGTTGTCGTCTAGCTATCGCATTCCATTAGTCTTTTGTCGTCGCATTCCATTATGTCGCATTCCATATGGGGAATGTCGTTGACCGCTTAGTACGTCTTAGAGGGGTATACAAGGAGTCGTTGCATGCAAAATAGGGTTGTGGTGAAGAGCGGGGAGGTGGAGGTCATTGGAGGGTTTCAGGTATAGGAAAGTTTGATGTTTGATGTGGCTGCACACTGCACAAGCAGTGTGCATCACGACCCGTAGTTAGTAGGGAAGGGATTTCTGTGGCTGCATTAGCCGTAACGTCTGCCAGATTCGTCGGGCTACCGTAGGGCGCATGTTGTCTGGGGGTGGACGGAGTTGCGGGTTGTATGCAGAATTCTGGGGGTGGACGGASTTGCGGGTAGTATGCAGGTTTCTGGGGGTGGATGGAGTTGGGGTGGACGGAGTTGCGGGTAGTATGCAGGTTTCTGCCGGTGGATGGAGTTGCGGGTAGATGCATGCAGAAAAGAAAAAGCAAAAAAAAAAGCAAAAACCTTCCTCAACAGCACATCTCCACAAACACGTCCAGATTCAGCCTTCGAGGACACTGCATGCTGCTCGTGGGACTTGGCCCCTGCGGTGATTGCTGGCAGCGGCAGCCAGTGACTCGGGCGTTGTTGCATGCAATAAAGGGTTGCTGATGGTGAAAGGGGACCGACCGGTCATGCGGGCGGTGTGGTTGCGGTCGTGGTAGAGGGTCGTGCGGTTGTGCGGTCTTGTTTCTAGTTAGGAAAGAAAGTGTTATCTAGTCGTTCAGTATGCGTACAAAGATCAACGGCCAGAGGTGACCGGGCGCATACGGCCACCCGGGTCTGTTGCAATGTTAAAGTGACAAATCACTTCCCTCTCGAGGTTTTGTTCGGGTTTCGAGTGTGCACGGCTCCTTGCCATCAGATCTGAAAATCTGACGGCCCTAGTGTGACCACGTTGGAAAATACACGAAACATAAACTAAACCCCCGGTAGTGGGTCACGGCCCCGCGTGCACGCAGGTCCGGCCTGAGGGCACGCTTAGACTGCGATACCAGATCCTCAATTTATGAGAAATTGCGGAGGCCCAATTTGGGGTTTTAGTGGTGGCCCAGGTCACAACGTGTCCCCAATACGGAAAAGACATGGCTGAGGCCG